TACAGCCATGCAGGGGTGGGGTGGATATCACGACCGGCATGGATCCACTTTTGTACACCGTGCCATGGCTGTAGTGGTTAAGAAACTCGGCTCTTAAGGCTGAGGTCGCCGGTTCGAATCCGTGCGTGCACGGAGGAGGTCCGAAGCTGACAAAAGTACAGACAAGTTGGCGCTGGGACTGGGTATAGCTGCTATTTCCATCTTTAAGTGGGGTAAAGATGCAATTTTCCCTATAAAATACTCCCTGAAGCACCTCTCCTGTGACTGTTCTTTTTTTTTTTTTTTCCAACAACACCGTAACGGGTAGCTCGTATGAATATGGTGACAAGAGCATAGGTCTGATGTGGGTCTTTTTTTGTTGTCTTTTCTTATTGAAGTCTGGTGTGGGTGCGATGGCTCCAACCTATTGCTGGGGAACTACACCTACTGAGAAGCAGGCCCAGCATCCCATGAAAAAAACAATGATAGTAACCCCCAACTAGGACAAAATCCGTTGCCTATACAGAGCTTATATATTATATTATAGTATATTATATTATAGTATATATATTATACTATATTATATTATATTATATTATATTATATTATATTATATATGACGATATATATTATATTATACTATATTATATTATATTATATTATAAAACTATAAAAATGGGATTTTTAAAGATGGGACTAGCTACCCTAGTAGGCTAGTGGAGAGGGGCGTCTGACCTTTTTTTAAAACAAGGCACCAGATGTAAACTGTTCTTGAAGCCGCCACACAAACCTGCGTAGTCTAATCCAAACCAGCTGAGCTCACCAGCGCCAAGATATGGGGTGGGCGAAGGGGACAATAAAATCCTTTGCCGGTTTTAAGCATGCCCTTTGTTCCAGGTTACTCCAGTTTCAGAAATTAGGGAGGGTGGGCTATTACTCCCCCCCCCCCATTCCCTTCCCTCCACTATCCCAGTACCTATTTTCTATTGAGTCATGTCGCAGTACCGTCTTTCACAGTGGGAAGTGAGTTGTCTGAGACTCTGAGGCCAGTAAAGGGAAAAAAAAAAAAAGAAAAAAAAAAGAAGGAGAATAGTCGAAAGTGTGCAGATATGGTTTTCCAGGCTGTCGTGACAGCTCCAATGGATAAGGAGCAGCTGGGAGTGTTCGCCGTATGAGGTCGCAAAGTTGGCAGTTTGTTTGAGGAGCTTGTTGTGGAGTGAGCCCTGGGCGATTCAGTAGCTCTTTGCTGATGATTGGCGAGTGTGGGAGTATGGTAGCTCTTTTTCTCTGATGACTTGGCAGGCCTTTTCTGATAACGTGGCGGCTGGCGAATGCAGGCACTGGGACACAGGGCATCGAGGCGCTGGGCGGTTCGCAATGGCGAGAGGCAAGGGTCCGAAGGCAGAGGATGAGGGGATGTCGCGGGAGCAAAAGATCGCCAAGTACGAGCAGTTCATCGAGGAGCGTTTGAAGACCGACCTTCAGCACGTAATGACAGAGAGAAATAAAATAAATGAGGAGTTGAAGAGCTACCGGGACTTGGAAAAGAGCATTCGCCTTCTGCAAGTCAACGACTTGACGAGCATGCGGTCGATGGTAAACTTAGGGTCAGAGGTATATGCGCAAGCACAGATCGACGACACGTCGCACTTATTCGTGGACATTGGTCTTGGGTTTCATGTGGAATTCACTCTGCAGGAAGCGCTCAATTTCATCGACTTGAAACAGAAAAGCCTGACAGCAAAGGTTGACGCGTACACATCGCAGATCGCAGATATCAAATCTCAAATCAAGTTGTTTTGTGAGGGCATCCGAGAGTTGATGCGACTACCATTTGAGGACCACTCTGCAAGGAAACCCAAAGTAGGCTCTTTTGGCGACCGCGACTGAAGCGTAGTGCATGTGCTCTTTACTCTTTAACATGTATGTCCTTCACATCCATACGTTCCAGCAATCTGGAAACGTGGGGACCACCATAACATCCTCCTCCTCCTCCTTGAGGAGTTTGTACGGAGACCCGTAAGTACCATGGGATCTGTTGGCAATCGCGAGGGACCACGATCTTGTACACAAGCTGCACGTGTTCTTGCAGTCTCTATTGGATTCCATCATTCCACAGTTGATGAGATTGCCGTCATAACAGAGGTCTCAAGGAGATTCGTACCATGGGATCTTTTGGCCATCGAAAGGAAGCGTCTTGCTTGCTCAGGATGTGCTACGTGGGGACCATCAGCTTGTACACGAGCTGCACGTGTTCTTGCAGTCTCTATTGGATTCCACAGATGATGAGATTGTCTTCAGGACAGAGGTCTCAAGGAGATTCATACCATGGGATCTTTTGGCCATCGGAAGGAAGCATCTTGCATGCTCAGGATGCACTACATGGGGACCACCAGCTTGTACATGAGCTGCACGTCCTCTCGCGATCTCTAATTAGAGTTGATGAGATTGCCGTCTGGACAGAGTTCTCACGGAGATTTATACCATGGGATCTTTTAGCCATCGAAAGAAAGCATCTCGCGTGCTCAGGATGCATTATGTGGGGACCACCATCTTGTACATGAGCTGCATGTGCTTTCGGGATCTCTATTAGAGTTCGCAGGTGATGAGATTGCGGTCTGGCACAGAGGTCTCAAGGAGATTCATCCCATGGGATCTTTTAGCCATCGAAAGGAAGCATCTTTGCGTGCTCAGGATGCGCTACGTGGGGACCACCATCTTCTACATGAGCTGCACGCGTGCTCGCGATCTCTATTGGAGTCTGCTCGCAGTTGATGAGATTGCCGTCTGGACAGAGGTCTCAAGGAGATTCATACCATGGGATCTCTTAGCCATCGAAAGGAAGCATCTTGCGTGCTCAGGATGCACTAAGTGAGGAGCTCTATCTTGGACATGAGCTGCACGTGTTTTCGCTATCTCTATTGGAGTCCGCTCGCAGCTGATGAGATTGCCATCTGGACAGAGGTCTCAAGGAGATTCATACCATGGGATCTTTGAGATCTTTTGCCGATCGAAAGGCACCGTCTTGCGCGCTCAGGCTGTGCTACATGGGGACCACCATCTTGTACAGGAGCTGCATGCTGTTCTTACGGTATCCATCGGATTCCGCAGCTGATGATATTGCCATCTGGACCGAGTTCTTAGGGAGATTATTCACCGTCTTGCGCGCTCAAGGCTGTGCTATGTGGGGGCCACCATCTTCTACAGGAGCTGCACGTATCCTCAGGCTCTTTCGGCGATTGGGACGAAGCATCTTGTGTGCTCAGGATGCGCTACGTGTTCTGTTACAGCGATGTCAAATTGTCATCAGATTTAAGGAATCATGAGCGCAAGGAGCCATCTTGAGGAACCATCAGCTGCCGACTACTTAGTCAGGAGAGCTGCGAGGCTGCAAGTGGAGAATGCAGCGCTTGCGCCGATCCACTAAGAGACTCTCGCCCTCTCTGAAACATCGACAAGGAAATCTTATGTTCCAGTGATCTAAAAAATGTCACCTGCTGAGTATTTTGTCAGGAGAGCTGCAGACTGGAGTGGTGCTTGCGGCTGGTCGTCCAGGGCGAACGTGAGGTTCTGATCCGTAGACAATTGGAGATTTGTGGGGTCTTTCGAGGTCTTTCAATGACCATCCTGACCATCTTGCTGGCTTGGTGGCTTGCTTGTTTGTGTACTAGCCCTTTGCTCTTTTCTTTGATCGCTCGACCTTGTCAGCGTCTACCATCCTGTGGTGATGATTAATCACGTCGTGAGTGATGATGTGGGCAGATAGGTCTTTTGGACTTGGTTCGAGCAGAAAAAAAAAAGCCACTGTTGATGATACGGTATTCCTTCCTGTCGCCATGTCACAATGTGACATTCGTGTCCCAATGAGTGAGGCTGATGGGACGGTGAACAACCAAGCACTCTTTGCACTTTGAGTCTGTGACTCTGGATTAGATTCAAGCATTAGTTCTTAGGATTAGTATGAAAGTCATTGGAGGGCAGGTCGACACTCTGTTTCTGGAGCTCTCTGAAGCTGAGTGGCTGGAATAAATCCAAGCCTAGCACAAGTAGGAGGATCCTCCTGCTAGAGAGAGAGAGAGAGAGAGAGAGAGAGAGAGAGAGAGAGAGAGAGAGAGAGAGAGAGAGAGAGAGAGAGAGAGAGAGAG